CTTACCTTCAAGATCTCTTTTCTATACCTCGTTTTCTTTTTTTGGTTTGACCTAGTAATAACACAAAACTTGCTTATCTAAGCACAAATGTCTAAAAAGTGAGAAGTTGTTCAGTAGGTCCTGATTTTAACGATAATTAAAAATAAATTAGATTTAACAATAGATTAAATTTTAACAATCTAATTTTAACAATCTAATTTCATTGGGTAGCTATGTACAACTTTAGTTGTTTTTATCAGTATTGTTATTTAACAACATAAATGTACTAATTCTTTAAAATTAATTTTTTATATATAGGACTTTTTTCATGCTGCCCAAAACAACCAGTCTTTGTTTTCTAAAGTAAATGAAGAGAAAATAGTTTTTTTCTTGCACTTAGTAGATGTAGATACCATTGGAAATGTTTATCTACCATCATCAAGGTAATTATAATGCTATATTTAATTTGATATCTTGAAGAGAACATATGTCTATGAACTTCTAAAAATATTAATTATGCCTTCTTTGAGATCATAACAATTGAATTCAATGATTAATTAACTCTACTGTCATATATTTAGATTGGGGTTTAGTGATCAGTTATATCAATGATATTATTGTGTAATATTACCCAATAGTAAGTAATATTATACAGTAATTACTATCTTATATGCTTGAGACAAAGTACATGCTAATTATAAGTAAAATTTCTATTGTGCTCATCTACTTCACTTATTAAGCCAAAAAAAGTATACATATTAGAAATGTTTTTAGCAAGCCTTGAAATAAAAAGCATTTTCATGGTACTATCTAAAGTCCTGGTGGCCCTCTGGATTAGATGTTGGGCAACTTAACTGCAAGGTTTGGCAGTTCAACCCCCTCAGTCATTTTGTGGGACTAGGATGACAGGGTGTGTTTTCTGGAGAAGATTTACAGTCCTGAAAACCGTATATAGGGTCACTATGAGTTGGAATTGACTTGGGAATAGTGGGGTTTTTTTGGAAACTTTATACCATAAAATGTGGTTAGATATTCGTTCTGTGCTCCATTTCACAAGTATTTGTATCTAGCAAATATTTACATACAGTTTTTAATAACCATATTTTAGCTGTATGTCTTTAAATTGACTTTGACTCATACCCTGTTTCCCTGAAAATAAGACAGTGTCTTATATTAATTTTTGCTCCCAAAGATGCGCTAGGTCTTATTTTTAGGGGATGTCTTATTTTTCCATGAAGAAGAATATGGTACACATTTATTGTTTATTAAAAGAGACCTCGCACTTCCTGTCTGCTCCCACTGCAGCCAACAGTGAGCTGCGCAGCCGCGTTTGCCGTAATGGTCCAGAGTTATGGTAGCTTCGGGGGTCTTTATTTTTGGGGAGGTCTTATTTTCTGGGGGATGCCTTATATTTCAGCAAGAGGCAAAACTGTAAGTAGGCCTTATTTTCAGGGGATGTCTTACTTTTGGGGAAATAGTAGTAATTCTTTTTTTTAAAAATAAATCATTTTATTGGGTGCTCTTGCAGCTCATACAACAATTCATATATCGATTGTATCAAGCACATTTGTCCATACGTTGCCATCATCATTTTCAAAACATTTTCTTTCCATTTAAAGCCCCTGGTGTCAGCTCCCTTTTTCCCTCTCTCCCGCCCTTGTAAACCCTTGATAAATTATAAACTATTATTTTCTTATCTTACACCATCTGCTGTCTCCCTTTGCCTATGTTTCTGTTGTTTATCCCCTGGTGGAGGGGGTTATAAGTTGATCATTGCCATCAGTTCCCCTTTCTCTCCCCACCTTCCCCCTACCCTCGACTCATAATAATTCTGTTAGACTGAGTGCAAGTGCCACTTAGGGTTTCCTGGGCTTAAACCTTTATGGCAGTAGGTGTGGTTGGGTGGGTTCTAACTGCCAGCCTTTGGTTAGTAGCCAAGCTCTTCACCACGGAGCCACTGGGCTACTTGTTCAGATACCATATTTTAGTGTTATTCCTTACCAATAGCACTAAGCAGCTCCCTGACTAAATCCTGAAATAAGAAGCGGTCCATTTGATACATTTTTCTTTATTGAGAATAGTGTAGATCACCTTCACTATAACAGCACAGCCTACGGGGGTGCAGAGTTCTTGTGTTAGGAGTGACTAAAGTACCTCATTAACAGAACACCCTGGTGGAATTTGTTCCAGGCCAACCTTGTTCAACTATACAGAAAGTATAAATGTAATTTGCTCTAAACTTTCATTTTGCTTTACAGTACAAACAATTTAAGGAGAAAACAGGTCTACACTAAAAAGAATATTAACCTACTGATGTGGCAAACCATTATAGTTCATGTTCTAAGAAACATGAGCCTAAATTGATCATGTTTGTGACTGAAAAACCAAAACCAACCAACAAACAAAGAAAACAAACCCCCACACCACCACATTTGCTAATTAGTGCTTTCCTTTCATCCTATTTCCGAAAGCATTTAAAGCATATTTTTTCTCCTTTAAATGAAGCAATAATTTTTTGTTTTCAACAACCCAAAGAGCACTGGCTTGAAAATATCAAAGATGCATCTGAAAGCGTTTCAGGAGTTAATGCCTTTGAATATAATGAGTCCATATTGAATATAGCTGATTCTTCTAAAGTAGTGTAGTTTAATTTGTGTCTCTGTTCTTTTCTAACAGTGAATACAGGTACACAATTAGAAAAGTTGATGATGGAGTGAAAGAGATTGTGTCCATATTTGAGCATTTTTATAGAAACGATGGGAAAACCACATTTCTCTTTACCTCTGACCATGGAATGACAGACTCAGGTTAGCCTGTCTTTAAGTGTTTATCATGAATGTAGTGGGAAAATGAGCATGCAAAACGAGTGGCTTGTGAGGATTAAGTGGTTTAGGATATGCCTGGCCTGCTGGCCTGAGCAAACACCTGTCCCCTCTTCTGTGCCGTGGGCCAGACTCTGGCTGTTGTAGCCTCTCCTGAGTGTCTCCACGCGTGCTGGACAGGCCACCCTGGTTCTAACTGCTGCCAGCACATGCACCCAGCTTCTGGACTCCTGTAGTCCCCTTCTGCTGAACAGAAGTATTCTTTCCTCTGAGGGAAAGGTAGAATATGCTTGTCTGAATTTCTTAGAATTTTAGGTTAGTTGGCATATCAGGTCCCCCCACCACTATTGTGTTCTAATTATTTAATGTGGATTGAATTGCATGCCCTCTCCACCTTCAAAATCTGTGTCAACATGGTTGGGCCATAATCCTCAGTGGTTTGGTAAACATGCAATGATGTGATCAACTCCCACAATATGATCTGATGTAATCAACCCTGATCTGATGTGATTGTCCTATGTGTCGTAGATACTCTCAGTTTTATGATTGTGAGGCAGCGACGTTAATAAGGCAGAAGGAAGCCTATAGGATTAGGCTGCATTTTGAGTCAATCTCTTTTGAGATACTAAAGGAATTAAACAAGCAAGCAGAGATAACAGGGACCTTACTAACATCAAGAATAAAGAGCCAGGAGTGGAGTATGTCCTTGGAAACCAGGGTCCTGCATGCACTGAGAACTTCTTAGGCCAGGGTACAATTGAGGCCAACACATAAGGAGATATGCTATTCTGGGTTGACTAGAGAAACAAATTCAGAGATACTCATGTGTGTAAGAGAGAGATTTATATCAAAGAGCAATTGTATTGAGAAAACATCTTAGCTCAGTCCAGATCAAATCCATAAGTCCGATATTAGCCCATGTCCAATACTAGTCCATAAATTCCACTTCAGACTCACATAGCCACTCACAATGATGTCGAATGCAGGAAGATCACAGGCCAGTGGGTGAAAAGTGTTGTGGATCCAGTGGCAGTGGAAGCATCTCCATATGGCAACTCCAGTTCCTGAGTGTGTCTCCTCAACAGTAAGGTAAAGCAGAGAGAGAGTGTGACCCACCTCCTGGGAGAACGAGAGGAAGTTTCCAGAATCCTCATGAGAAGGCCACACCCATCAGGAGGCATCATCAGACTGTGAACTCACAGGCTAAACTCCACTCCTTCACTTTATTGATCAAGTTGACGTGAAATTAGGTAGCTACCACAGGCGAGCTCCAAGGAGCCCTGGATCCAGAGATGTGAAAGGAGACAGGGACCTTCCTTCGGGGTCAATGAAGAGAAAGAGCCACCCCAAGAATTGGTTACCCTAATTTTAACCTCTACTCTCTTCAACTGTGAGAGAACGAACTTCTGTCTGTTAAAGTTGTTGTGGTGTCCTTGTTAAGGCTGCTATGAGTCCGCATCGGCTCGATGGCAGTGGCCTCTGTTTTTTGTTACGGCAGCACTTGATAAATAAGACACCATGTTGCCAAATAAGTAAGAAAGCACACATTTAACGTTTGTATTACAGTGTATTTGCCCTCTACACAAATATTTCATAAGTTATTTTCCTATTGTTTGCCATGGTGTATGCTAGTCTCAAGACCTAAAAGTTCATGCCTTAGTGACAGGCAACTCAAACTACCAGTGGTTTCATACAGCAAGCACTTATGTTTGACTCATCCCATTCTATTCAGGATGGGTTGGCACAGGGCTCATTGGCATCCCCCTGCCCTGCCCCGAGGCTGGCAGGTTGCATTTGAGCACCAGGTTTTGACAGCTATGGTGGGGAAGGGCATGTGGCCTGGCCCGCATAGGCTCTGAAAGGCTGTGCCTGAAAGTGATTGACACACCAAGTACTCACCTGACTGCAGAAGAATGGGTCCCTGCAACCCTCCCTTGTGCCTGAAGTCAGGGCACAGCAAGGATTGGTGAATATCACTAATGACAACCACATTAAGGTAAAAATTTAATGTTCTTAAATCAACATAAAGGGTATCTATCCAAAGGCAAAGGGCAACATTATGCCAAGGGGAGAGGAAATGAGATAAGGATGTCCTTTCTCACCACTCTTACTCAATATTGTTCTGAAGTCTTAGCCAGAGCTATCAGGCGACGGAGGGAAATTAAAGACATCTAAAGTGGTAAAGAAGAATATCCAGGTTCATGGAAAGGAAGCTGTAATGTTGTAAAACCCCAAGTCTCCATGACCACCGAGTCACTTCTGTCTGACTCATAGCAGCAACTCCATAGGACAGAGTAGATCTATCCCTGTGATTTTCAAGACGTAAGTCTTTCCAGGAGGAGAAAGCCTCATCTTTCAACCTCAAAGCAGCTGGTGGGTTCAAACTGCTGACATTGCAGTTAGTAGCCCCATGTGTAACCCACTACACCATCAGGGCTCCTAGTCTACCCATAGTGATCTATAAATATAATGCAATCCTGATTCAGATCCCAGAATCATTCTTTAAAAAGATGGGAAAAACTAATCACCAACTTTGTATGTGCAGGAAAGACCCAGGATAAGCAAAGCATTACTACAGAAGGATCAAGTAGGAGGCCTTTCACTTCCCTATCACAAAACCTACTTACTACACAGCCATGGTAGTTGAAACAGCCTGGTACTGGCACAATGATTGACACCGCCCAATGGAACAGAATTGAGAACCCGGAAATAAGTACATTCATCTATAGATTTTTGACAAAGTTTCAAAACATGAAATGGGAAAACGATACTCTTCAACCAATGATGCTGTCAAAACTGAATTTCTATGTGGGAAAGAATGAAACAGGATCCATACCTCACTCCATTAAAATAAAATAAAATAAAACAAGCTCAAGATGGATTAAAGACCTAAATGTAAAACCCACAACTATAAAGTTCATCAATTAAAAAAAATAGGGACAAACTTAAGGGCTTTTCTACATGACATAAACAAACCAACAAACATAATGAAGCACACACATCAAAAGACAAAATAGATAACTCCCATGTATTCCATTTGGCGAGGTTCTTGTGTATACTCACCATTGACGCTGTAGAAAAAGATGCTTTCAGTTGTTGATCTGTCCTTTCTATCACCAAGGCTATATTTACTCAATGACCAATCATTTGTCATAGTTTCCAACTTTCACATTCTAAGCACTAGTAATTATCAGTGCATCTTGATCACACGTTTCTTTGATTTCCGACTGCAGAAGTTGCTAAGTATCTATTTCTCTTCATTTTAAGCACTGGTGGTTGGTGTATAAATTTGAGTAGTAATTGTATTATCTGATCTTCCTTGGAGGCATCTGGACACTGACAGCGTTGGACTTCAGGACTGATCTTGAAATATTCTTTTTGACAATGAATGTGACACCATTCCTCTTTAAGTTGTCATTGATAGCATAGTGGTCCATGTGATTGTCCAATTAAAAATGGCCAATTCCAGTCACTGATGCCTAGGATACATATATCCAGCTCACTGATGCCTAGGATATATAACTTTAAACATTCCGTTTCATTTGTGACAACTTCCAATTTTTTTTCTCGATTCATACTTCATATGTTTCATGTTCTGATTGTGTATGGATGTTTGCAGCTGTTTCTTCCCATTTTGACTTACCACCACGACAGCAAATGGCGATCCTGAAAGCTGTGTTCTAGCCACATCATTAAGGCCAACTCTGCGTCGTCATAGAGGCAGCACTTCCCCAGTCGTATTTGTCTTCCAGCCGAGGGGCTTCCCTCTGGCCCCACTAATCCCCTGCTGCTTTTCATCACTGTTTTAGAAGTAGATTGCCTGTTCATTCCTCCCATTTTCTCTTAGTCTGGAAGCTCTGCTGAAACCCACCCACTGTGGGTTCCTGGAGGATATTTGAAATACAGGTGGCATGAATTCCAACATCACAGTAATATGATGTTGGACAGACAAATGATGGCCATTAAGACTGGGGCCTAGGAAGCTCTGTGGGGCAGTCAGATAACACAATTATGCGTCTCAACCAACTTGGCAGGTTTGGTTCGGTTTTGAGCACGAGAAAGGCAGGCTCTGGGGGGAGATTCCTGTCACTCAGTGCTCCTTGGTTTCTTGGCCATCTCCATGGCACCTGCCTTCCTGTTTGTGCAGTGCACTAAGTCTGGTTTAATTCTTGTCATTTGATAAGGGAGAAGGCATCTTTTGGTTTCAGCAAGGAAGCTGAACATTCTAACTTTTAATTTTTTCTCTATATTGCCTATTTGTGTCCTTGGCCCGCCTTTTAAATTAAGGTATTAGCATTTTCCTTCCTGATATTTAAATGTATATTAGTGCTGTCTTATATACTAAAACCAAACAAACTTGCTGCCATGAACTCATTTCTGATTCATAGTGACCCTGTAGGACAGGGTAGAACAGCCCTGTGGGTTTCTGTGACTGCAACTCTTTATGGAAGTAGAAAGTTCCAAATTTCTCCCACAGAGTGACTGGTAGTTTCATACTACTGACCGTGCAGTTAGCAGCCCATTGTGTACCCATTAAATACATATTTAAGGTTGTTACAGGGATATTAAATGGTTTAAAATCAGAAAAGGTATACATCAAGGCTGGATCTTTTCATCATTCTTATTCGATCTATATTCTAAGCAAATAATCCAAGAAGCTGGACTGTGTGAAGAACAGCAAGACATCAGGATGCGAGGAAGGCTTATTAACATTCTGTGATATGCAGGCCACATGCACTGCTTGATGAACGTGAAGAAGACTTGAAGCACTTTTTACACCTCAACATAAAAGAAAAAAACGACAACTACAAGTGGAGCAATTGACACTATCATGATTGAAATTGTCAAGGATTTCATTTTGCTTGGATTCATAATCACTTTTCATGGAAGCAGGAGTCAAGAAATCAAATCATGTATTACACCAAGTAAATCTGCTGCACAAGATCTGTTTGAAGACTAAGGTGCCCAATTCAAGTATTTTCAACAGCCTTATGCATATGAAAGTTGGAACGGACTAAGAAAGACTGGAGTAGAATTGATGACTGTGGATTCTGGTATTGGAGAAGAATATTGAACATGTCGTGATTTGCTCTGAAAAACGAGCAGCTCTGGAGTACTTCCTGTAGGTGCGAATGGCAAGCACTTTTCCGATTTACTTTGGATCTGTTATCAGATAGGGTCACCCCTAGAGAAGGACATCATGCTTGATAAAGTAGACCGTCCTTGGAAACGAGGAAGACCTCAGTACAACGGATCGGCACAGTGGCTGCAACAATGAGCTCAAGCAGCAAGTCTTGTGGGGATGACACAGGACCAGCCAGATAGCCCCGTCTTTTTCTGCAGACTGCTTTGTGGCTTTAAACCACCCACTTTGTGCTTACGAGCCCCAAGCCTAGTCCACAGTATTACCAAGCCTGCTTGTAGAAAGTTAAGGTTACTGGTACTATTTTAAGAACTACATGATCATTGTTTTTGCTTACTAAGGTATCATATTCCCTAATATATGAGGAATTTTTATAGCAATATATATTCTTTTTTAAAAATTAATAGCTTTGAAGTACATATTCACATCTAATAGGACACCAGTTCTCTTACAATTTACCTTTTAAGAAAAAATTCTTGCCTATTCTTTTCTATTTCCTTGCTGACATAAAATTTAAAATCACTTTATAAACTCTTAACCAATTTTCACAATATCTTCCAACTAGAATTTTTATGTATTTTCAAAACAATAACATCAGTAATAAAAACACAAAAAAGGTAGACATTTGATAAAAATTGCATCTTTTATTTCCAATGTACAAGTTTGGAATGCCTATTCTTTTATATCCATCAGTAAAGTTGTATAGTGTTCTCTATGTTTCAGTAATGATGTTTTTTTTTGCCTTAGAAGAATATAAATGATTTTTCCCACTTGGGAGCCCTGAGAAAATGGTGTTTGTATTCAGGGAATGTGAATACAAACTTTTAACTTAGTGTTGTACACATGTAGTACACATGTTATTCATAAAGTGGATTTGGCAGTTATGTTAATCACAGTAACCAACCAGGAGAAACACACGTAAAGCTACTCCTTTTTCTTTTGTCATGCACAGGAGCTCAGTAGACATTTTGCTCTTCTTGTTTTTGCCTGTTTGATACTCTTGTGTGTTAGGCAGGGTTCTCTAGAGAAACAAAACCAGGACACTTATGAATATATATGGATAGGTTTACAGCGAGAGGGAATATAACAGCAAATTAGTCCATACAGCAGTGTAGAGGGTTCAATTCAACTCTTTTCCTTGGAACAGTTAATGTACTGGAAGCCCATCAACTCATGTGGGCTGTCGGGACTAAGGTCAAGAAAGCAGACAGCAGAGTCTTCCCTCTGGCAAGGAAGGCAGAGTCTGCCAGTAGACAGAGACTGCCTGAAGGCAGCAAACAACAGGGTGGGTCAGAAAAATTCAGTAGCTCAGGAGCTTAGCAAGGCAGGCCCTGATGGGATCTCAAACTCAAGCACTGCAGCATGATCCACCAGCCTCAAGTTCAAGCAACGTACACACCAGCAGTGTGGTGAAGCAGGTCTCAGAAGAGCCTTAAGCTCTAGCAACAGGATGCACCAGTTGGCTTGGTCCACAGGTAGTGTAGCACACAGGCTGAGGCAGAGAACTAGCTAAAGCAGCAGCATGCTGGTCTGATCACAAGGGAGGAAGAGGGAGATGGGATGTTGGCTGTCCTGCAATAAAGCTGTGGCCTGATCCAACTCCTCTCACATGTTCCTATTGGCCCAGTTGGCACAATTAACTTATCACACTCTGGGATTATTTTTGAGCTCATTGTTTCACTAAGTTGTAAGCCTTTGGAAGTGTGGTGGCCAGAGTTAGCCAATTTCAAGCATCTAAAAGTGAATATTTACTGTCTCTTCATTTTGACACCTGTCTGTTTCCCCTCGGGGTCTTCTCTGCAGGTTCCCACGGGGCTGGCCATCCTTCAGAGACTCTGACTCCTTTAGTCGCTTGGGGAGCTGGAATAAAGCACCCCCAGAAAGTATCAGCACAGCAATTTGATGATATGTTTTTGAAAGGTATGCCTTTTCATTTTTGTAAGGGATAACTTCTTAAAGACAGACCAGTTTTTTGCTTTTACACGTGGTTCTTTAATAAAATTGTACTTGCATGTCCCTTGCTTGGGTACTTGCATGTCCCTTACTTGGGTACTTCGTGTCCCTTACTTGGTATTGGTGTCATTACTGTTCTCATCTGTGACATTTCCATGGACTACTTCAAGGACTTCGTATTATTTGGCTTATTATATAATATCCACCCCTCATAATTTATCTTTTGAAAATGCAAGTATAAATGACACTATTGTTTTTCTTCATAAGCATTATTACTGGGATGTAGAGAAAACACTTTAGTCAGATCTTACCTGACAAAAACAACAACAAGACACACCAAAATTATGCATATGTCACAGTTGATACTTAACAACTGCAGGTCTGGTTTTGCTCTGTCTCGAATATTCTCAAGAATATTACTGCAGTCGTTAAACATTCAACTGCTAACTGAATGGTCAGTGGTTCGAACCCATCAGCTGCTCTGAACCCACCAGCTGCTCCACAGGAGAATGCTGTGGCACCCTGCTACTTTAACAAGTACGGCCTTGGAAATGAAATGAGGCAGTTCTCTATCCTTTAGGGTCACTTTGAGTTGAAACAACTCAATAGTCTTTTTTTTTGGGGGGGGGGGTTGGTATTTTCAAAGATTCTCTGCATCTCAGCCCATGAATAAAGGAACGCTTTTATTTTCTGTTCTGCTATTTGTTCAGCATTTAAGATTTTTTATTAATTACATGATACAGATTCTTCTGAAATAACTTCTTGTACGTCAGTTGCATGAGCATCGTCTAAACGCACTGTGATGGAGTCAATTCTGACTCGTGGCGACACTAGAGAGGGTAGAACTGTTCCTGTGGGTTTCTGAGACCATAACTTTTTTTTCTCAGTTGGAATCATTTTTAATGTTTAAATACAAAAAGTGATTGCTGCCATTTTTTTATACACACAATACAGGATTATCGGACAAAACGCAGAGGTACCAGCTCCTCCCAACACATGGGCACACAGTGGGGGGTTTGTGCCACTCCACTGTAATGCACTGTGCCTGTTGCACATTGTGTGTCCCTCCCCGACCTCTCCACTCTGACACAGCCAAGTCACCAATGCTCGGGGACATTCCTCCAGGGTCTCAGAAGGGTGAGAGGGTAGGTGTTCAGGACAACTTGGGAGCAATTTAGCAAGGGGTGGGTGGTGGGTAACCGTCTGCATTGCTGCACTCTGGGGTCGGTGTGCAGACAGAAGAGCGATCCTGGCGGAGTGGAGGGCACAGGTGTATCTGTAGGGCAGAGGGATTCTCTCACCAGTTCCACACAGATCAATGTGCCAAAGTTTGACCAAAACACAACAAAAAACCCCAAATCAGCAGTTCTAACATTTGAAATTCAAACTTCTCCCGCTAAGCTCAATACAGGCTGTAGCTCTAGATCTTCCCAGCAGTGAAGGCAGAGGCCCTGGCAGTCCTCCCGACAGTCCTGTGTTGGGCCCTAGGAGTATCTGCCGCTGCTGGAGCTGCTGCTGTTGCTCCATCTGCAGCTTCTCCGTCTGGAAGACAACAGGGAGAACCGGAATCGTAAAGGAAGTGGTCCCAATCCATAGGCTGCCCTGGAAAACCTGTACATTTTGTGAGCCACAAAAAAGGAGAGGTCAAAAGTGGCTCCGGCCGGGGACCGGATTTTCTCTGGGAACATCTCTGTCAGACCCCAGAGTCTCTCCGACAGCGTCTCATCTGGCTCCTTGTCATCGTCCTCCTCCAGCTCCTCCTCAGTCTTCTCCCCGTCTGAGGAGAGCCAGCTGCAGCGGCGGCGGCGGCCATGGCTGTAAGGGCGAGACCAAAACTCTTAATGGGTGTAAAAAGTCCCATGTTTCTCCCGAGAAGGTCCTGGTGGTTTCAAACTGTAGACCTTATAGATCGCAGCCCAACTTGTAACCACTGCGCCACCAGGCCTTGAGAATCATCTAAAGGCCTTGTTAGAAATGCTATTCCTGGAGCTTACCGCTGGGCATTGTGACTGCACACGTTTGAATAGGGTCCAGACATTCTATTTTTAAAAGCTTCTCTAGTAATTCCTACTCACAGCCAGAATTAGATGACATTTTTGGGGGCATTGTACAATGAAAGTATACTCCTTATATTTCTTATACTTCTTAAAGTCAGTAAAAGGATACAAGCAGTTTTCCTTATTTTTATTTCATTACCTTATTGAAATGCTTCCATTTTTGTGAATAGGATTGTTGAAATATTTTAATGAACCTTTAAAAGAATCATTGCTATTACTGTTTGGTGCCAATGAGTGGGCTCCAATTCACAGCAGCAGCAGCAGACCGAAGCACTCCCGCATCCTGTGTTATCTTCGCAGTTGCTCCTACGTAGGAGCCTATGGTTGTAGCCCTTATCTAATACGTCTAGTTGAGGCTCTTCCTCTTTCCCACCCATCCTCTGTTTTACTAAGCATGCCACCCTAGCAATTGTTTTTTCCTGGTGACATATCCAAAGGACATGTTCCTAAGGAGCAGTCTCATTGTACTTCTTTCAACACAGATCTGTTCATTCTTCTGGTCCATGGTGCATTCATGGTCAACATAATTGAAGTCACCGAGGTATGCTTATATGTATATCACTAGGCTATAGAATATCATTTCCTAAAGACTTATTATGTGTTTCAAAGTAGTAACATATCATGCTGACACTGCAGTGTTATTTTTTTTATAAGGTGGTATTTAAACACTGGTTATCTTTACATTCTTTGATATTGAACCTCAATATCAAAATCAAAGGACAGGGTAGACCTGCCCCTGCACGTTTCTGAGACTGTAACTGTTTACTGGAGTAGAAAGCTTCATCTTTCTTCTGTGGCATAGCTGGTAGTTTTGAACTGCTGATCTTGCAGCAGTTAACAGCCCAGTGTGTATAAGGTTGCTGTGAGAGGGAATCGACTAAATGATAGCGAGCTGTGTGTAAAATAAATTGCTTTTCTCCTCGGTGGTGGAATGGTAACTTATGTGATTCAACTGAGACGCTCCACCAAGTGGATGCAATAGTAGACGTGGCTCATGCATCCCTGTCAGGAGATCGGGAAGGCCTGGCCAATGTCTGGAAGTGAATTGGGCCCACGCCAAAGAAAGGCAATCAAATAGGATGTGGAGATTATCTGGCAATATCATTAATATCAGATGCTAGCAAACTTTTGCAGAGGAAAATTTTAAAACAATTGTAGCTACCAGAAATTCAACCTGACTAAAAGGAAAATGTGGAATGGATATCATTGAGGATCTTAGGTGAATCTTTGCTGAAAGCAGAAAATATCAAAAAGATGTTTACCAGTGTGTCATAGTTAGGTTTTGTGTCAACTTGGCTGGGTCAGGGTTCTCAGCGATTTGGCAGTAGTTCCCCATGATGGAATCTAACACAGTGTAATGTATTCCACGATGAGATCTAGAACAACATAATCAATTCTGTGAGTAGCCAACAACTGTAGTGGAATATAGCCCCCTCGGTTAGGTCTTAGTCTTGAGACAGTTGGAAGAAAGACGTCATGGGAAGCTTCACTGCTTATGGATCTGGATCCTGCATGGGGTTCGTAGACTTCCTGCCATGCTACATGACTTTCCAGGAGCCACCAGTGGACATCCAACCCTGGGTTCATTGGTCTCACTTGTGGTCTTCATCTGCCTACTTCTTGGCTCATCTGACCCTGCAGCTACTCGAGTTAGGAGAAGCCTCCTGCTTACCATCTGCCCCATAGACTTGAACTGGATTGGACACCGTTTCTGTAATGTATGAGTCATTTCTCGATATAAATCTCTTTCTGTATATATACACATATAAGTGTCACCAGTTTTGCTTCTCTAGAGAACCAGCCTAATGCAATGGTATGCTATGCAATGGTACTCAAGTGTGCAGTGTCTTTAATGATGGAGAATGGTACAAACGTTAGGAATTCCAGGACAAGTTATGGACAATATTGCAATAGGAATTCCAGAGGACTTAACTGTATTCAAGCAGAACCTGTGCATTGGAACTCAAGATGGTCATTTGACTTGACCAAAGGTACACTGTGCAGTGCAGATTTGGGGAGAGGGTGCACCAGGCTGGTAACCTCCATTGTAGTATCCAGTTTGTATGCTGTACAAGCAATCCAAGAAGCTGGTCTATCTGAGGAAGAATGCAATATCAGGATTGGAGGCAAATTGATAAACAATCTACAGGATGCAGATGACATAATCTGTCCTGCTGAAAATGAAGGCAATTTACTGATGAAGGTCAAAGACGATGCCCTTCAGTATGGATTATATCTGAATGCGTAGAAAATGAAAATCTTCACAAATGAACCATAAGGAACATCTTGATAATCAGAGAACGTGCTGATGCTGTGATGAATTTAATTTTATTTGGATCCAATCATTGCGCAGATAAATGGTTGATCTGAAGACAGAACAAAAAAATTCTACATTTTTTCATAATGCCAGTTTTCACACCACGACCTGGTCTTTGGGACATAAACATGTTGATAGGTAAGGGGAGATTGTAAGGTTGTACTATATCCTAAAGCCACTAAATCAAGACATGGCCTTTCACAACCACTTGCTTTAATGACTCTATATTAAAATATAAGGATTTGTAGAGAGATGGGTAGGCAAATGATGTTATCGCTAAAGTAATTTAGTTCAGTACTTCAGCACTCTTGGGTCAATGATTGTAGGAACACCACTGCTGTAATTTAAAGTATTTTTAAACCATCTGCCTTTTGGAAGAGAGAAACGCCCTTTGGAGTGACTTGAAAGTCTACAATTGCCTTACGCCTCTGCAACAGGATTTAATTCACGCCATTCGACCTGTTAGTTGTAATTATGGTGCTGTAGACTGTATTCTTCCATCTTCCCTTCCTTTAC